TGTGCACGCAGGCGTCCTGTTCGCGTTTGGAGCTATCTAGGGTAGGGGGAGTGGGGGGCCTGGGGTGCAGGCCTGGCTGAAGCATCTGCTGCGTCCAGGCCCCGTGCTAAGCCCTGCGGGTGGAGTCAGCCCTGGGCCTACAGTGACCCTGTGATGGCAGTTCCCTTCAGAGCTGGCGAAACTGAGGCCCAGAGAGGTTAAGTACTTCGCCCAAGCCGCACAGCTAGGCAGCGGCCGAGTGGGGCCCGGAGCCCCCGAACCCCCGAACCCCCGTACCTTTCCGGAGGAAGGCGCCACGGCGCTGGTCCAGCAGGCTGGGCGGCAGCAGCGTGAAGTTGGACATGGCATTGGCCTTCATGGCCCCGAAGGCCGAGTGTGCCACGACGGAGCCCAGAGCCTCCTCACTCAGCTGCCGGCCCAGGAACTGGCAGACGCGCTGCACGGAGCCACGGAGGTCCTGCGGGCAGGGGACAGGGCTCAGGCGGGGCAGGCAGAGGGCGCGGGCGGCGGAGCGAGGGGGCCCAGGCCCAGAAGGAGCACCAGACCCCGAGTCTGGATGTCTGAGCCCCAACCCAGACCTGTCTGGGTGACTCCGCCTCTTTGCCTCAGTTTCCCCGCCTCCACCCGAGGGACTGGGCTACGGCCTCGAGGGTGTTTTGCAGATTTGGAGTTTTGGGTCTTGGTGGGTAGGTAGGAAGGAGCAGGGCTAGGTCAGAGGTCACAGCAGGGGCAGAGGTCAGTCCAGCACCTCATGCAGAGTCACCTGCCTTCAGGGGACAAAGGGGAATGAGCCAGTCTGTGCCCCAAACCTGTTCCTCAGGTCCTCACCCCAGCACAGCCCCGTCACTCACCCCGTCTCCCGGCCAGACTCCCGCCCGCCTCATCCCTCCTCCGTCCCCTCCCCTCACGCCCTGTCCGCCATCAGCCCTGTGCCTCAGTCCTTGACTCTCTCCGCTGTCCCTTCCTCTGTGTCCCTAGCACTGGTCAGGCCTCATTCCCTCCTTATGGACCCTCGTTCCAACCTCTTCCCCAGCCTCCCGGCCTCCGGTCCCCCACACCCAGAGCTGAGCCTCATCCCAGCCTCCTGGTGGCTCCCCGGTGGCCCAGGACATGAATCCCAGTCCCCAGGCCTGGCCTCGGAGGACAGGTGTGGCGGCCTGTCCCCGCAGCTCCCTACGCTGTCCCTCCAGGACTCATTGTCTGTCCCCTGCAGGCCTTGGCACGGGGCTGCCCAGGGAAGCCCCCCACCATCCTGCGCCCCCTGTCAAACTTCCCCATCAGATGCAGCATGAGCATCTCCGCCCTCAAGGTCCCACCACTGTGGACTGAGCACCTACTGTGGGCTCAGTTCTGGTCCAAGCCCCTCGTGTCTATCTGTGCTGATGCTGGCCGACAGCTCTGCAGAGAGGTGACGGCACCCCAATCGGTAAACGGAAGCCCAGAGAGGGGAAGACACCTGTCCAGGGTCACACAGCCCCGGAAGAGCTCAGCTTCGGGTCCCGGAAGCCCACAGTCCCCGCCTCTACCCTGACCGGAGCCCAGGACAGTCAGACTTCCAGTCAGCTCTGCCAACCCCACGGCCCTGATTTTCCAGGTCGTTCCTGGTTTCGTAACCATCCATCCTTCTCTCATCTCGAACCACCGACGTGTCCCAGAAATTGTCACGTGTCGGCAGTTTCTCACACCCAGGGGCAGCCCAGAACCTCTGCCAGGCTGCATGGCCCAGTTTCTGGTTTGGAGCATAAAGCTGGATGGAAAAGGAGGAGGAGGGGCAATGCCCTGTCCCAACCCAATCTTTTCTGGATCTTTCCGTCAAAAGATGCAAAGAAAAACACACACACGACTGACGGAGTCCGCGGCGAAGAGCCGTGTGCCTCAGACGAGGCGTCAACTCTCTCTAAGGGATGAACCCCCGATTTCCTCCTCTGGAAATGGGGAGAATAGCAGCATTGGGGTGAACCATTTAAAATTACCCAATGTCAGCCGTTTCGTGGGATTCGACCTCACACGCGGCTCGCCTGTCCGTCCTTCGCACACGGCGGTGGCCGTTATTGTTATTGCTAATCAGACAGGAACAGGCCCTGGCTGAGGATCACTGTTCCCTGACGCACGGCGCTAACGCCTCGGGGTCCGACCGTGTCAGGGGTCGCATATGCCAGGGCCAGGGGGCGCGGTCCTCACCACGGCCCCACGGGCTGGCGTTTTCCACCCGTTTTAAGGATCAGAGCTCCGAGGCTCCGAGGGGTTTTAAGAGGAATTTAACGGCTGTGTTGGACACCAGCATCCGGGCTCCTTTCACCAGGGAAAGTACCGACAGAGAGGAGAATACGAAAAAATGCATGAAGTGGGAACACGTGGGTGGCCGTTGGTGAAGGGACACGTATTGGGAGGCTCCTGGGACCCTGGACTCCTGGGACAGATCCTAGAAAGGTTGGGCACCGTCACTGTGGATTGCTCCAGCTACAAGCCCAGCATCCTCCTCATGGCCGGGCAAAGTCGTAGACATTCTGCACGGCCCCTTCTTCCAGGAAGTCCTCCCTGATTGCCCCCAGCCAGCCGGCGTCTCTCTCCTGGATGCCTGACCCGTCATGGGGGGCCGGAGGGGGATCCAGGTCTAACTCCAGGTTATTTCCCTCTGCCCTTCAGGCCACGACCATCGCTGCCACTCACTTCCCAAGTTCCACCGTTTCGCGTGACCTCATTGAGCCCATTGCCTTCCCCTTTTCGGGGTCTACCTGTGGCTGCCACCTTCTCAGAGAAAAGCCTGAGTCCTCGCTGTCCGGCCTCGTTCCCCTCCCCCATCCCCACTCACTGAGCTGCGGCCACAAAGCCTCTTTCTAAGCCCAGGAGAACAGCTCACCCCAGGGCCTTTGCATCGGCCGGTCCCTCCGCCTGGGGCACTGTCCCCAGACACCGCCGTGGCTCCCGCTTCCCCCGCAGCCCTTCCTCGAGGGTCACCTTCCCCTGGAGGCCTCCCCTGACCGCCCTACTTAAACAACCGCTCCCGTGGAGACATTCCTGCCCCCTCCTCTCCCGCCTGGCTGTCCTCCTTAGCGGCCACCTATTTAATTTGTCCAGGGTCCGTCTCCCACTCACGGGCTCGGGGACCCTGCGCCGTTCACTGCCACAGCCCCAGGACCTGGCGCGTCCCAGGCCTTACTGGAAGGGAAGTGGGAGGTCTGAGAAGGGAAGAAGTGGGGGTGCTGAGCTGCTGGGGGGCGGGGGGCTCACCTCCTGCAGCTCTTCATAGGTGATAAACAGGAAGTTCTCTTTGCCCTGCATCCGAATCCAGCCTTTAATGTGGTCGAACCAGGAGCCGAACTGCACTGCGGGCGGAGGGGCGGAGGGGTGAGGGCCAGGCGGCAGGGCGCCCTGCGGGGGCGGAGAGGGGTCTCGCCAGCCCACATGGCCTCCCGGGCCCAGGCCCTCTGAGCCGGACGCCTCCCCTCCCCCGCCCCTGCATTGGTGCCTCATCGCCCTCTGTCTCTTTGACTCTGTCTCTGTCTCTGTCTCCTTCTCCATTTATTTCTTCGTCTGTATCTCTCATCGTCTTTCGATTTCTCTCTCAGCCTCTTAGCCTCTCTCGCTCCCTCTGTCTCTCTCACTGTCCCTCTCGGTCCCCTCTCTGTCTCTGTGGCTCTTTGTGACGCCCTGGATCTCTGCCTCCCTCTCTCTCCTTCTCGTCCTCCCTCCGTCTCTCTTCCGTCTGGATCCACTAGGGCTGCCGCTGTCCTCACCTTCGCCTTTGAGGAAGTTCTGCAGGAATTGGTCGGGTGTGCCGGGGTCCTTCAACTGCCCGGCGATCTTGGAGTAATGGTAGAGGGACACCGCCACATCGCGGGGGTTCCGGCCCATGTAGATCACCTGTGCGTGTGGTGGGGGGGAGAAAGTGTCAGACACGGCCGGGGACCCCAGGCCCTGAGGCTGCGCACCTCGAGCCCCATCTTCTGGCCCCGCAACAGGAAGGACTCGGGGTAGACTTCTCAGGGGCTCCCCCCGCTAACGTTAGCTCAGAGCATCTCGCCTCGTCCCAGAGGCCAGGGAGGAGAGAGGGGCTGTTTCTGGAGTGGGTGGAGGGACAGTTCGCATCAGGGAATAGAGAGGGGAGGAGGAAGGCGTGGGGGTCAGGACGCGGGGGATCGGGGTGAGAGGCGTTGACCAAAACTGAAGAGAAGCCGCCCCTCCTTCCTGTTCCCAGAGCCGAGGGTGCAGCCAGCCTCACCCCTTCCTGCCTGGACCCTCACTCCAGCCTCTTCCATGGCTTCCCAACCCCCACACATTACTGACCCTGCTGGCCTTAGCTCTCCAGCTCCCCAGGATAGAGTCCTAGCCCCTGAGCCTGGAAATCAAGGCCCCAAGTGCCTGGCTCCGATATATGTACCAGGTTTATCCCACAACCAACCCCTCTCCAGCCCCATCAGATACGTCCTTCCCCGGGAACCATCTTCTTCCCCAAGACCGAGGTCAGCCACGTGGCGGTCAGCCATGTCTACGTGGCTAACCTGCAACGAAAACCCTGGACGCCAAGGCTCGGGTGAGCGTCCCTGGTGGGTGAAACTCCGTGCCTGTTGTCACACATCGTTGCCGGGAGGGTTAAACGCTGTCCGTGTGACCCCACTGGGAGAGACCGTGGAAGCTGGGGCCTGGTCTCTTCCTGCCCCCCCTGCCTCTTCCCTTCGCTGATTTTAATCTGTATCCGTTCAGTGTAATAAACCGTAACCGTGAGTCTAACGGCTTTGCCGAGTTCTGAGGCCTTCGAGGGAACCATGGAGCCTGAGGGTGGTCCTGGGGACTCCTGGGTTGAGATCCCCATCTTGTCTTTATCTACAGTCACTTCCTTGGTGACCGCACCAGCCTCCTGGATTTAATGACTATCTATCTATGTATCTACCTATCATCTATCTATCCGTCTATCTACCATCTATCTATCCATCCATCCCTCCATCCATCCAGCTATCATCTATCTATCATCTATCTATCTATCTATCTATCTATCTATCATCTATCTATCTATCTATCATCATCATCTATGCATCCAGTAACAAATTGCAAATATATGTGCTCAGCCCGGATCTCTCCTGTCAAATCCAGATTTGTCTCTCTCGCTGCCAACCTGCACCTGGATGTCGGTGGGCCACAGCAGAGCGCCCCATCTTCCCCGCAAACCTCTCCTCCCTGTCCTCCCCATCTCAACTGATGACAGGCCCACCCTCCCACTTTCTGAAGCCGAACACCCTGGAGACACCCTTGACTCATCAGTTGCTCTCGCACCCACATACAATCTGTCAACAAATCCTCCTGATTCCACCTTCAAAATACACTCCAAACCCGGCCCTTTTTCTTCCCCTCACGGCCACCACCCCGGTGGGCTCCGTCGCCACCTCCCACCCGGGCTCCCTCTCAGGGTCGCCTCCTGCCTGCTTCTGCCCTCGCCGCGCCACGCCGTTCCCCACCTCGCCACCAGAGGGCGCCAGGGAAACCCCAAATCGGCTCCGGTCTCTCCCCCGCCCAGAGCCCGCCGCTGACCCCGTCCTGCTCAGGGGACACGCCAAGTCCTCGCAACGGCCACCACGGCTCTGCACATCTTGGCCCCTGTGACCTCCCTGACCTCGTCCCCACGCCTCTCCGCTCTCACTTGGCTCCGGCCACCGAGGGACATCACACCCACCCGAAG